ATGCCAGAAAAGTAGAACGCTGCAAAGGCGTTCAAACTGTGTGGATCATGACACTGGGATAACATTGTGAATCATGGGTATTTCAGAACATTTCATTGTGCTCATGAATAGTGTACGTAAACCAAGAAGCAGTAGTTCAAACAGAACGAGGGGACACTGAATGGTTTAAAATTGGGAAAGGTGTGTGCTAGGATTGTATTCTCTCCTCATTCTTATTCAGTCTATATGCTGATCAAATAATCCAAAAATCTGGATTATATGAAGAAGAATGTGGCATCAAGATTGGAAGAAGACTAATTAACAACCTATGATATGCAGATAATATAACCTTGCTTGCTGAAAGTGAAGAGGACTTAAAATGTTTTCTGATGAAGATCAAAGACCACAACCTTCAGTATGAAGTGCATCTCAATGTAAAGAAAACAAAAATCCTCGCCACTGGATCAATAAACAACATTCCTATCAATGGAGAAAAGTTTGAAGTTGTCAAGGACTTCCTTTTGCTCTGATCAACCATCGATGCTCATGGAAGCAGCAGTCAAGAAATCAAACATATTGCACTGGGTAAATCTGTTGCACGAGAACTCTTTGCAGTATTCTAAAGCAAAGATATCAGTTTGAGGACTGGTGAGCCTGACCTAAGCAATTTTATTTTCAGTAGCCTCATATGCATATGGAAGCTGGACAGTGAATAAGGAGGACCATAGAAAAATTTATACATTTAACTTGTGGTGCTAGAGAAGAATATTGAAAGTACCATGAACTGCCAGAAAAACAAACAGTCTGTGTGTTGGAAGAAATACACACGGTGTGCTTATTAGAAACCAGAATGGTGAGACTTTGTCTTTCATACTACGGATATCAGGAAGGACCAGTCTCTGGAAAATGATATCCTACTTGATAAAGTGAAGGGTCAGCAAAAAAGAGGAAGACCCAACAAGAGGAATTGGCACAGTGACAGCAGTAATGGACTCGAGTGTTACAGCAATTGTGAGGATAGCGCAGGACCAGGCAGTGTTGTGTTCAATTGTGCACAGGGTTGCTGTGAATTGGAACCGAATCGACGACACCTACAACAACATAATTTAACTACTCTCAGTTGATGTACATTATTTTTGGTTCTAGGTTTTCTTTATTTCTCAGCAAACCTTTATTTAAAAAGATTGGCAAATTGATTAGTTTTATTTAGCTCCTGCTCTGGATCTCTTTGTTGAAGATCTTGCCATTGGTCAGAAAGGCACAAAGAAAAAAGAAAACACAGCCTAATGACACCACAACTCTATAATAATCAAGAATCAAATGTGTATGCTTTCCTTTCAAATGAGTCCTGGAATAATAGTCTTCAAGATGAAGTATGTTGTTGTAGCTAAGTGCCATCAAGTTGGTACTGACTGCTAATATCCCTGCGTAGGGTTTCCAAGGAACAGCTGGTGGCTTTGAACCACTGACCTTGCAGTTAGCAGTACAGTGCTTATCCTACAGTACCATATGTTAAGTATATACAGGCTTTCATAATAATATATTGTGTTTAACATCTGCAAAACATCTTCCTAGGTTTACTGTTTTTATTGGCAGACAGCTTTACATGCAATTTTTGTAAATATATTATGGTTTATGTAAGGTGAGAGATGAAGAAACTTAAGAAATTGGCATTATATATATCATTAAAAAAAACTTAAGGCCAGAGAAAGGTGACCCTACAACATGTGGAAATCATCTAACAACATCATTAATTTCACACATAAAGTACAAATTTGTTGAAAACAATTAAAAAATGATTGTAACAGTACATCGGCAGGGAGCTGCCTGAAATTCAAGCTGGATTCAGAAGAGGATGTAGAAAGGTTATCATTGCTGATATCAGATGGATCTTGGCTGAAAGCAGAGAATACCAGAAATATGTTTACTTGTGCTTTATTGACTATGAAAAGGCTTTTGACTGTGTAGATCATGACAAACTATGGCTAACATTGCAAAGAATGGAAATTCCAGAACATTTCACTGGGCTCATGCATACACCTCTACATACACCAAGAGGTAGTCAATGGAAAGAATAAGAGGATAATGAATGGCTTGAAATCAGGAAAGGTGTGCACCAGGGTTGTATCCTTTCATCATCTTATTCTATTTGTATGCTGAGCAAATAATCTGAGAAGCTAAACTATATGAAGAAAGAATTTATCAGGAGTGGAAGAAGGCTCATTAATAACTTGTGGTATACAAATGGCACAACCTTGCTTGCTGAAAGAGAAGACTTGATGCCCTTACTGATAAAGATCAAAGACTGCACACCTCTTCAATATGGATTGTACCTCAACGTAAAACAACTGGACCATTAGATAACATCATGATAATCAAAGAGAAAATGTTGAAGTTGTCAAAGATTTCATTTTAATTGCATCTGTAATCAATGCTCAGGAAAGTAGCAGCCAAAAAAACAAAGGTCCTATTGCAGTGAGCAAATCTGCTGCAAATGACCTCTTTAAAGGGTTAAAAAGCAAAGAGGACTAAGGTGCACCTGGCCCAAGCCATGGTATTTTCACTTGCCTCATATGCATGCAAAAACTGGACAGTGAATAAGGAAGACAGTAGAAGAATCAATATTTTTTAATTATGGTGTCAGCAAAGAATATTGAATATACCATGGACTACCAGATGAATGAAAAAATTGTTTTGGAAGAAGTACAGTTGGATTATTCCTTAAAAGCAAGAATTGAGAGACTTTATATCACGTACTTTGGACATGTTATCAGGAGGGACCAGTTCCTGAAGAAGGATATTGTGTTTGGCAAAGTGGAGGATCAGCAAAAAAGAGGGAGAACCTCACCAAGATGGAATTGAACCAGTAGATGCAGCAATGAGCTTAAACAACAGCCATGAGGATGATGCAGGACTGGGCATAGCTTCATTCTGTTGCACATGGGATCTCTGTGAGTTAGAACCAACTTGAAGGCACCTAACAGCAACAAATAACCTAAAGATTGGTGGTTCAAACCCATTCAAACGTGCTCTGGAAGAAAGACCTGGTGATGTCTCTATAAAGATTGCAGCCAAGAGAACCCTATGGAGCAGTTCTACTCTGTCATACCGGGGATATGAGGCTTTCTGCTCCTGTAAAGATTTACAGCCTCAGAAACCCTGTACAGGGTCGCTATGAGTCGGAACCAACTCCATGGCACATAACAACAATAACAATATACCGCGGTAAACATGAGTCATGAAAACTTGATGACAGCAGATGTTCACATGGTAACTGAACATGATTCTTTTTTCCAGTTTGGAGCTATAATGAATGAATATACTTTGAACTTCACGTATAAGTTATTTTATAGACTTTCATTTCTCGGGTAATTATAAGAAATTCTGGGTTCATAGGATAAATACATGTTTAACTATGCTTAACTATATTAAGAAATGATCAGCTATTTTCTGAACTGGTTGTACCATGTTGAATTTCCACCAGTATGGAAATGTTGTTGTTGTTAAGTGCCCTTGAGTCGATTCCGACCCATAGCGACCCCATATAGGGTTTCCAAAGAGCAGCTAGTGAGCTTGAACCACCGACCTTGCATTCAAACGGCTTTGGAACATTAACCCACAGCGCCACACCAGACTATGGAAATACTTGGTGTCAATGTCAATACTTGACGTGCTGCGTTAATATCTCATTCGGATGTTGACTTGAGTTTCCTTCATGACGCATGATGCTGAATATCCTTTCAGACTGGACAACACTTGGCATTATGTAGTGATAGCTCATTTTGGTTTTTCGTTTTCATTTCCCTCCTGGCTCGTAATGCTGAACATCTTTGCAGATGTATATTAGTCATTTATATATTTTTCTCTTGTCAAGACTGTTAAAATCTTTTATCCATTTTTAAAATTAGGCTGTTTATCATCTTAATTTTTAAAAATTTCTTTATGCTTTTGAATAAAAATCTTTCATCAGAAAAAAAAAACAACTTAATGTTGTCAACAGTGAAAAACTTACATTTGAGTAATATAAATTTGTTAGCAATATATATGTTCTATTTTTTTTCTTTTCAGGATCCTCTGGTCCTTTTCAAGCTACTCATCTTTGGAATGATATTATTCACTCCCTTCATACCCAAGTGGAAATAAAAAGAAGACGGCATCGTTTAAGAGCATACAAAGACTGTTTTACTGGTTCTGATGCTGTTGATGTAGTATTAACACATCTTATGCAAAATGCACATCTAAGTAGCACTCATATCTCTCGTCTTAAAGGAGTTCGTCTTTGCCAAGTTCTGATGAATAATAAAGTATTTGAACCGGTAGGAGTTAAGCGATTCAAAAATGAAAAGGAATTGGTTTTTGAGGATTCAAATAGCAGTCTTTACCAGTTTCTCAGCAATAAGTCATCTCGTGTTTTTTGCAAAAGAGAAACGGATGCAGAGAAAGGGTTAATTGAAGAAACAAAAGCAAAAGACTCTTCAAGGTTAGTGCTAACCAGGACACTAATACACTGTGTTTAAACCCAGGCTGAACTGCATTCACTGCACTAAACGGTAATGTTATACTTTCAGGCTGTTTTCTGAAGTCAGTAAAACGGATGTTGTTGTTGTTATGTGCCATGGAGTCGGTTCTGACTCATAGCAACCCTGCACAGGGTTTCCAAGGCTATAAATCTTTAGGGGAGCAGAAAGCCTCATGTTTCTCCCGTGAGTAAAAGGGAGGGATAGCTATGTAAAATTAATCCACTTCTGTATTTACTCTAAAACTGCTGTATAGGAAAAATCCAGAATTTGTACCAGGAAAAACTTTTATCTCCTCTGAAGAATTTATCCGCTTCCTATTTTTGTAAAAAATGGCTTAGCCAATGTAAAAGTAAGTCAATGCTATCTGGAAGCTCAGAGCAAACATTTTCTATTCTATCACACAGCAACTATGTGATTCTTTAGAAACAGCATATTTGCTTTCTCTCTTTTGTTAAAATTTAGTTTGTCCCCTTTGGGTGATTTTCTATTAAATTTATTATGTGCATGCTTTACTGTAAATTACCTGCAATCCTATTTGGAAATAAGCAATACATAAGTAAATTTTGGATTATAGATGTTTAGTTGCATTTGTGGAACACCGGTTGTTCAGTGGTAGAATTCTTGCCTTCCATATAGGAGACCCAGGTTTCATTTCCAGCCCAGTGCGCCTCATATACAGCTACCACCCATGTTTCAGTGGAAGTTTGTGTCTTGCTATGATGTTGAACAGGTTTCAGCAGAGTTTCCAGACTAAGCCAAACGAGGAAGAAAGGCCTGGTTATCCACTCTTGAAAATTAGGCAGTGAAAACTCTATGGATCACAACGGTCCAACCCACAGCCAATAACAGAGATGGCACAGGACCAGCAAGGCACAGACTTGGCAGCATTTCATTCTATTGTGCATCGAGTCACTTCATTACAGCTAACAACAAATATATTTTGATAAATAAAATGTTTGCTTCTCATTTTGGTTCACTATATAATAAAAAATTCACGTTTGTTTTACAGAGCAGAAGATAAAATGATTTCAAATCCTCTAGCACAAGTGTTTGCTGAGAAAAGAACTGAGGCACTTATTTATACACTGAATGGGAATTCAGCTTTAGCTCCAAATATCGCAGTTAGCACATCTGTCCTCCAGCTGTCAAAAAAAGGTAATTTCAGTTTGTTTGTTTGTTTCAGAAGTCTGTTAGGAGCAATGGACTTTTCAGCTATGATAGCAAATAGTGTGTTTGGTGTGTTGGCTCTCCACTTCTCTTCCCTCTGTTTGCTTCTACATGGTAATTAACATAAGACAAGACAGTGAGGTACTATAGCTCCATATCATTAGCTTACTGTTCATACTGACCATGACCAGATTAACAGGAGGTGTTACAGTCCATAAACCTGTTGTTGTCGAGTCAATTCTGACTTACAGCAACTCTGTGGAACTAAGTAGAACAGCCCTACAGGGTTTCCAAGCCTGAAATCTTTATAGAAGCAAACTGCCAGCATCTTTCACCCTCAGAGAAGCTGATGGGCTTGAACTGCCATCCATATGGTTAGTAGCTGAGTGTGTAACCACTGAACCTGCAGGACTCCTTCACAGTCCATAGGACCAGAGAAAACACATGGACTCATTACCTGTCCAATTATCTGTAATCCAAAACCATCTTCTGAGCACATCCTTTGTCCGCTGCATAAACCCCTTAAACGTGACCGTGTTCTCTTCCTTTCCCAGAACAAATGTATTGCTGCACTCATCTTTACTGTGTGCTTGTTTCCATTATAATACCATTGGCACAAGAAGTTAGGACATTTTATAATTAGGACATATTATAATTCTATTATAATACCATTGGCACAAGTTAAGACAACTAAGAAGGGTACATACAAAATCCATTACTGATGACACCCTTTACTGCACTTGGTCATACCAAGAAAGAAGCAAGGCAATCATACTTTGCATACTGGAGAAGTCTAGTTGATGAGCGCCAGTTAGACTCAGTGTGATAAGGGCACTGCAGGGTGCTCTGGGAGCACACATAAAGGGCACACAAACATAAGCTAGAGGGAGTCATTGAAGATCCCCTGAGGATGTAACATTTAAGCTTGGATATAAAGTCAAAAAGAAGGAATGGGAACTAGCCTGGAGTGACGTGGAAAGAAGTAACTGAGGCAGAGGGAAATATTTATATTTGTATAAAAGTACCAAGACAAGATGGAATATGTAACAATTGAGAAACTGTGCAAGCCCGATTTGATGAGCGTAAGCAAGGAGAAAGGAAGAACAAGATGAGGCTAGAGAGGCAGCCAAGAGCCAAAAGCAAGTATTGGAGTTTTTTAGGCTATGTTGTTGTTGAGTTACTGTCAAGTCAATTCCAACTTGACAGCGGAAGTGTACTCCGTAGGATGTTCAAGGCTCTGACCTTTCAGAAGCTGATCTCCACGTCTTGTTTCCATGACACCCGTGGGCGGGTTGGCACCACCAATCATTCAGCTAGTAGTCAAACATTTAACCATTTAGACCACCAGTATTTATATTTTACTTAAAGGCCTTTAGCAGGGGAGTGTGAAGATGAGGTCTGAACTTGAGGAGAAGAGCATTTTAATTTACACTTCAGTCCAGTGGAGGCTGGATTGAAGGGAGCTTGACCAGAGCAGGAAAACCTATTAGACAGCAACTGCAAGAATGCAGGTGGGCTCAGATCATACATTGTTAATAGGGGAGGTAAACAAACAAACTGATTAACACAATTATGTTAATAGCTAAGTGTTCAAGTAGACTATGGAATTGCAGTTGGTGTGGTTCTTGTTAAGCACCACAAAGTCTGACTCATAGCGACCCTCTATAGGGTTTCCAAGACGATAAATATTTGCAGGAGCACAATGCCTCATCTTACTCCTGCCGAGTGGCAGATGGGCTTCAGCTGCTGACCTTGTGGTTCAAGTCCAGTGTGTATCCTACATAGCCACCATGCTCCCCTGAAATTGCAGTTTGATGTTGTTGTTAAGTGCTGTCGAGTTGGTTCTGACCCATAGCGACCCTGTATAGGGTTTCCAAGGAGCAGCTGGTGAGCTTGAACCACCAACCTTGCAGTTCAAACAGCTTTACAGTCTGGCACATTAACCCACAGCACCACACCAGGACTCCTGGAATTGCAGTACACTTAGTTTGTTTTTGTTTTTCCCTTAGCATCCAACACCTCCAGTGGCTGCTTCATCTCTTATCTCCTTACTGATGTTCCTTCAATAGTTTTTAGTCCTTGGTTCTTTTTTTCTTTCCTTGCTTGGTCATTTATCTCGAATCTAGGAAACAAATTAAGTTTTGGAGGTTTTAAAAACCATCTATATACTCTCCTTAGCGCTCATCTGTCACTTTGTCATACTGTGGTGGTGTGTTGCTGTGATGGTTGCAGCTATGCCACTGATACTTGAAATGCTTGCAGCCATTCATTGATCTTAGAGACATGTTTAAACATTTCTTGTATGGAATAAAGCTGTGCATGTATGAACTGTAAAAGAAAAAAATAAAGAATGCAGGCTCAGAGAAGAAGGATGAAGATGGTTTCACTCAAAGAATGTGATTACTGTCAATGAATTGTATGTGAGGGACCATAAAAAAATTCATGGAGAAATGGAATTAAAAGATAGTGGAGTTTTTCCCACAAACCTTTGGAAGCCCCCTTATGCCTTTAGAAACTGTTGAATTATTACAGGTTTTGCTGTGTATATTCTCATCACTGACAATAAAGTTTTTAAATGAAAAAGAATCCAGGTGGGGATGACAGTGGCCTGTACTAGAGTATGGCAATGGAACAGACAAGTGGTTAGATTGAGGACCACAAAGAAGATAGAGTCAGCAAAACTGAGTGACTGAGCGCATGAAATGGGGCGAGAGAAGAGAGAAGACCAAGATCATTCCTGCTTCTGAGGGAAATATACTGGATTCACTTGGCACATGTTGAATCTGAAGTTTCATGAGACTAAGGTGCATAGAGGTTTTCCAGTAGGTAGTTAAAGGTATAAGTAAACAGAGAGACTGAGGCTGGTGGAGCTGGTGGTGATGTGCTGTGGAGTCGCTTCCAACTCATAGTGACTCTGTATAGGGTTTCCGAGGCTTTAAATCTTTACTGGAACACAAAGCCTCACCTTTCTCCCGTGGAACCACTGGTAGTTTCTAACTGCTGACCTGGCGGTTCACAACCCCACTCATAACCACTATGCTACATCAGCATTGTAACTGAAGCTATGGCAAAGGGTGTGCATGAGAGGGTAAGAGGGACTAGAAATGAACTCTGAGGAAGACTAATATTTGAGGATAAGCAGCAGCAGAAGAGCCAGCAAAGGTACAGTCCGTATCGATTACCAATGAAAAAGAACTTTTCCTACCCATCATTTTCCCTTGGGAATATGGAGTATCTCTAGCAATTGCAAAATAAATGTGCATGTAACTTGTCAGTAAAGGTGTTAGTAGCAATAACTTCCGTCTATCAGGCCTTTCTCTGTACCAGTTTGTTTCGCAGATTTGTAATCTCACAGTTAACCTATGAAGTAAGGAGTAAAATTCCAATTTTATAGAAACCGAGGCTCAGAAGGATTAAGTTTTAAAAGCACAGTAGAGAAGGAAAATGGGCACTTACATACTTTTGGGGGCATTTTCATTTTTATCAGCGTTGCACAAACACATAATGTAAAGTATTCAACTAGTCCTACAAATTTGGCTCTAAAACATTCCATTCCCCACCCTTTTCTTGTGACCTGTTTTCCCCTCTCCGGAGGCACCCATATTCAATTCCTCTATCTCTTATCTCCATATGCCAACCACCCAGCCAGTTGTCATCAAGTCAGGCTTGTTAATACTTTGTGCCAGCAAGTGACTCCATATCTGTAAACAACATGCCTACATTACTACTTTATGATTTTTCAGTTTAGGATAGAGCTATTAACTTTATACAAAGAAAACTTGCATCTATTGCACAAACACTTCTCCATACACCCCTCCCCATTTCCCCAATGTAATTGGAAGATGACCTTCATTAGAAAAATTAAACATTATTTTGGCCATGCTATTCAGAACAAAGCCATATAACAAACCATGATTCCTTTATCTTTACAGCACTTTGTTTGCCTTAAAACCAAAAGCCAAGGCTGCTGCAACTGAGCATTTCCAACTCATAGTGACTTTAGGTAGGTTTGCTAAGGCAATATATAAATCTTTACAGGTGCAGACAGCTTCCTCTTCCAACATGGAGTGGCTGGTAGATTTAAATTATTGACGTGGTTGGCAGCCCAACACGTAACCCACTATACTACCAGGACCCCTTAGAGCAAATACATTTTTTATTTTCTATTTTGTATAATTTTGCATATTCGTGCCCATTGTAGGATGGATTGCAAGGTCAGCTTGAACCACAAGGTAGGCAGTTCAAACTCACCAGCCACTCCTTAGAAACCCTGTACAAAGTCACTCTGAGTTGGAGCCGACTCAACGGCACTTAACAACAACAACCAGAAAATTAGAGGTTTCAAGACTACCCAGAGAAGCCTTTGGAAGAAGCTGTAAATCTTTTTTCAGTGGAGAATCAGCCCTTGAAATTCCAGAGGAGCAAGTTGCACTCACACATGTGGGATTGCCTTGAGTTGTCGTCAGTTCGACAGCATTTGGTTATGAGGGCTAGCAATTCCAAAATCTGTAGCAAGTGCAAAATCAAGATGCACACTAGAACTCCACCAGTCTAGTCCAGGTAGCTGACTGGAAACTCCAGCAGGATATCTATGCTATAGTCTTGATGCAGGATTCCTTCTTTCTGGAAAACCCTCAGTTTTGCACTAAGATTTTCAACTGATTGTATGGTGCCCACCCACATTTTAAGCATGCATGTGTAGTAGGGTCCTTTACTGAAGAGTCAACTGATTGTGTTTACTACATCTATAAAACACATTCATAGCAACATCTAGATCAGTGTTTGAACAAACAACGGGCCCCATAGTCTAGCCAAGTTGACTTACATAATAAACCAACACATATAAATACAGGAAAGTCCTTTTTTGTGTGTGGTAATAAAACAAAAGGACAATACCATGAAAAATAGCAGCTAACACTCAGCTTCGTTCTTTGAGACACAATGGTGAGTGGTAGAATTTGTGGTGTGCTGAAAGTGCCATGCCAATCCAAAAAGAGTGGCCATTCAGATCAGCTGATTTTGTCATACATTAATCCAGACCTAATGTTTTGAGGGGAGTCCTGGTGTGGTGCTGTGGGCTAATGCATCAGACTGCAAAGTTGTTTGAACTGCAAGGTCGGTGATTCAAGATCACCAGCTGCTCCTTGGAAACCCTATACAGTGTCTCTATGTGTCGGAATCGATTAGACAGCACTTAACAACAACAACAACAATGTTTTGAGGTAGCTTGAATCCACCAACAGTTCTGAGGGAAAACGATGAGGATTTTTGCTCATGTAAAGATTTACATCTTCAGAAACTCTATAAAGGGTCACTATGAGTCGGAATCGACTCAGTGGCACACCATCATCATCATCACCACCAATAGTTTGCGATCTTCTGATTTATTTTTTCTTTAAGATAATCATGAAACCTAGATTCTGATATGAACGCATCCCATTTTTATACAAGTTAGTGTGTTTATTTCAAAATGATTTATAACCAAAAAATAAATTATAACTATAGGTCAAATTTATTCTATAGCTACCTACTTGGGAGCTTTGCAAGAGATTTACAGTAGCTGCTGGTTTTGTAATTTTGTTTCATATTGAAAGGAAAAAACAAAATTTAGGATTGAAGGATACAGTAAGTAAAAACTAATGAACTCTTAACAAGACTTGGTGTAAGACACTCTACAAAGATAATGCTCTACATTCTACTTTGGTGAGTAGGGTTTTAAAAGCTATGCGTAGTCATCTCAGGTGCAACTATTCTTTCCCTATGTGGAGAAAAGAAGAGTGAGGAAAATCGAAGACACGTGAAAGCCATTAATCCAATGGGCTAATGGACCACATGAGCGTTGGTCTTCACAAACCTGCCAGAACAACGAAGTGGTGCCCAGCTGATGTGGAAGGGATTAAAAGGCCCTGATAAACTGGGAGGAAAATCTGGAACAAAACTCAAAATCATAAAAAAGATCAGGCTTGCTCATCAGATAGAGATACTGGGACCCTGAGACGTGGCCCTTGGTGGACCTTCAGGTCTGGAACATTCCTGTGGTTCAACTTTTAGCCAAACAACAGACAGATCTATAAGGAAACAACACTAGTGAGTTACACACCTCTAACAATAATCAGCCATTTAAATTGAATGTGCACCATTCACCCAAGGGCAATGTTCAGAGAGTTAGGAAAGAAGAGACTAGAAACAAGAACCACAGGGAGGAAGTGGGATAAGTGATGTTACACTGAGGGGATTGCAGTTAATTAGATGAAACAAAATGTGTTTACATTGCTGAATGTAAAACATGATCAGCTCGGTAAACCTTCACGCAATTCACAAATTTAAAAAAAGGTTTTAACCTGCAAACAAAAAGCAGGAATAACCAGAAATCCAAGGTAAGCTCAGCCTAGTGTTGCATTGTAATTTAAAGAAAAATAGACTGCAGATCCTATGTTGCCTTAAATAGAAAGATAAATTAGTAATCATCTGAGATGTATATAATAATTTATAAGCATGACCAGTAGGTTTTATGTTTGAAATTGCTCCATTGTTAGCCTTGTTGTTGTGTTCCATAACTACCTGTTTAGGGTTTCTGAGGAACAGCTGATGGGTTTGAGCTGCTGAGTTTGCAGTTTGCAGTCCAGTGCTGATCCTACAGTGCCACACCGAGAGTCCATTGTTAGTCTTAAAAGCTAAATAATAACACTTTATAATCAACATAACCAAAAAGTCAACTCAAAAGGGTGCATACCATAATGTCTATCTCCTTCAATATCAATCTTGAAAAGAAAAATTCTAATTTAAATTATTCTAGCATTAAATAATCCATTATTTGAATGTCACTGTAGCTTTTATTTAGTCTTACTTAGAAAGGAGCTCTGGTAGCATAGTGGTTGCAAATCAGGCTGTGAACCGCAAGGTGAATTAGGCTGTGAACTGCAAGTTCAGCAGTTCGAAACTACCAGCTGTTCTACGGGAGAAAGATGAGGCTTTCTGCTCCCATAAAGACTTACAGCCTCAGAAACCCTGTTCAGGGTTGCTATGGATCGGAACCGACTCTATGGCACTTAACAACAACAAAAAAATTTAGAAAGGAAGGAATTTTGTCATATTGTATATCATATATCAGTCTTGATAGTTACGTTATTTTTGTATTCTTAGCTGTGCAAGATGTCTGGAAACAACAAACATTGTTACGTATTCTTCAGCTGATTGACCTTCCGTTCTTGGAAAATATGTTGGACCCTCCAGTTAAACCACAACATCTTTGGTTAAGTAAAGAGGAAGATCTTGTTTTGTCAAACACTTGCCTCGATAGAGACGTCATCCCAAATTTATGTCTATCTGAGTAAGTGACCATTTTTATTGTTAAATAATCTGTAGCTAAAAAGTTACTTCACATATTTTCCTTGGGCATTTTATAAAGTATTTTCAATGAATAAATCATTGGTCTTGCAAAATTCTATCATGGAATCTCCAACATCATTTCTCTCAAGACCATATTTTCCAACTACTGATCCTTTTTATTTCCAACCGTTGCGTTCCAATTCGCATCACCAGTAATTATTGATACATCTTGGTTGTGTGTTTCATCAATTTTCAGAATGAAGAAGTTGGTGGTGGTGGTGGTGGTTAGTTAAGTGCCATAGAGTCGATTCTGACTCATAACAACCGTATATAGGGTTTTCGAGGTAGGTTTAAACTGCTGATGTTGTGGTTCACACTCCAGTGCTGATCCTACAGCGCTACACCAAGAGTCCAAAGTTGGTAAAATTCTTCAATTTCATCCTCACTGGCTTTAGTGATTGGTGCATAAATTTTGAATAATAGTGGTATTAGCTGGTCTTCCATGTAGGTGTATGGATATTATTCTATCACAAACAACATTGTACTTCAAGACAGATCTTGAAAGATTCTTTTAGATGATGAATGTGACGCCATTCCTCTTGAATTTGTCATGCCTGGCATAGTAAACCATATGACTGTCTGATTCAAAA